TTTTTTCAGATGTTCCACCCCAGGTCAGGGACCTCCTCGGGTAGACAAGGCAGCTATGTTCAAGTTCCCGTAACTCAGCATCTGGCAAGCCTCCTAGTACATCCATATCATTGTTTAGTAGAGGAATCAGTTTCTGACAAACTGGTTACAAGTGGACTCAAAGGAAGCTTTCTATTAAAAAAACCCACACCACCGAGAAATGGTGTAAGATATTCTAACAAATGGTAGAATGATGAGGCAATCCCCTTTCCAATGTTCCCCCAGGCTTGTTTGACTGGCATCCAGCAACAGGCAGGAAGAAATTGGAATAAGCCATAGCAATAACCCATCAGGCTGAGACAGTTAAAGAAAGAATCATTTTGCAATACAGGACCTAATGCTAGTAATTCATAAATGAATTAGCACACTAACTAAACATCCTTACGTCTTGTTCTTTCTCTCCCCTCACTCCCCTATTCCTCCCAAGCAACAAGGAAATGAACTATTTCCATATGCTACAAACTCATTAAGAGGAAGACACAGATAAAACTACTTTGACACAATAAAACAAACACTGTAGCTGCTCTGAAAAGGCAAGATGATCCATGTAGGTGTTACCAGTAAAGAAACAAAAACTTCATAATCTCTGTATACTTGACTGTATATTTGTATATTTGACTCACTACCAGATTTTTACTGTAACTGTTCATTACATGTGAACTCAATTGGTGGATAGTGAAATCTGTCCAAACCTGTGTCTCATAGCTGAAGTTTAGCTCACAGTGTTGGAGGAGAGGTGCTTCCCAAGATTTAAAAAAAAACCCAAACCCTATTTGTCTCAAACTAAACACAAGAAAAACTTATTTCAACTAAATTTTATGAAAATGGTTTTCCCTGCTGTAAAGGTGAGTGACTCATTTTGCTAAAACATTTCAACTAGATTTCTTCTGGGTTGCATTTCTGTCCAAGAGACAATTTTAAAGATTGTTGATGCTGAATATACTTAGCTTTATATTAGTTCTGGTACTGTAATCATCAAGATTGATGATTGTTTGAGGGTTTCTCAGCTTCTTTAATATATGCTCTGAATTACCTGTCTTTAAGAAGGTTGCAATTATTTAAATTCTTCTGTTTGAGCTAAACATCCTGAACACTTATCTGTATATTTCACCTCCAGCTGAAAGAATAAAGTGCAAGAGAAAAATACTGCTAGGCTAGCTATGATAAATAAAATTGCTTCTAGATAATAAAGTACAAATACTACATTTTAAATGCTGAGAAATAGCACCTCAATTTAAGGCTAAAGGTAATCCAGTTTATAAATAGAAAAAAAATCTCTAACTACTTTGAAACTTCTGCACACTATTTTCATTGAGTGCTTCCAAGTTGATGTATTTGAGAAATACTGAATCAATTTCTTCTCATGATCTCCGTGTTACTCATAATTTGCAGCCTCTACTATAGTTCCTCTCAATTTTAACACATGTAAAACAGTTTACCCGGAGGTAGCCAAGTACCATTTAATATTGCGAAATGCGCAAGGCAAACGGTTTCCTAATCTAGGCAAGATTTGGGGATTGTGGCACTCTGCGTAAGGCATTGCGAATAAATAGAGTAGGATGGAAATACGCATCTACATCAGCCAGGAAAATACACCTTCCAGTACTGGGTTGTACCAGGAGGACTTTTAATTAGCTCACAACAGTCCAAATTACTATGAAGAAAATAAAACATATGTTGTAGTTTGCAAAATTGTAACATCAGTGTTAAACGTGTTACATTATTGCTGCAAATTTGAAAATAGAAAAAATCTACAAAGGCAAAATACATTAAAACAAAACTGAATAAAGTTAGTTTAAAAGAACAAATGTTTTCTTTGGCCACTTCCTTTTCCTCACATTAACTCCATTTATTTCTTCCTCCATGGGATACATCGTTGGATCTGCAGAAGTTTAAAGTTAGTTAGTAACGCTTACATTCTAAACTTCTAGAAAAAAGATATTGCCCCATTTACTGCTCACAAGTGTGGACACAGCTCTTTGGTCAGTATTAGCAGATCTGAAGAAGAGCAAAGTTTTGAAGAAGCTACTTGAAACAGTGAAATAATTTTTTAAAAAATCAGTACCTGTTTACAATCCTTTTATATATAAAATACTCAGTTTATAGTAACCCCAAAGAATAAACATCACCAAATTAGAAGTGACACACCATTATAACACCTGGCATTCACATCATGATGAAGAAAGCTCCTAAAAGTTTCCCACTGATCAATAAACAGGAGCTAACAATTCATAGATGTTCTCCTATGCTAGAGAGTCAAACACTTAGATAAAGAGATGACAGGAGAAGGAAGCATTTTGGCAGGTAACACAAAAAGTGGAACTATGAAAAAAGCAAAGGAGGAGGCTTATAATGTTATCCGCAACTGCATTAAACCAAGAATTTTGGCTGAAATCTAGTTTAGGTACAGCTGTTAGCAATCCATTTTTTCCACTATTGGGGAAGCCAAGGTTTCCATTGGTTCTAAAAGAATTGTGGTCTGCGAGAGACTAACACACAAACAGACAGCACGGTACCAATGGATAAAAGCGATTTTGAGACATGTCCAGCTACTAAATGAAACAAGACACAGAACAAGAATCTAACACGTAGGGATAGGTTTATGGATTATCATAGTCCAACCTGTTTACATTGGCTTGTTTAGACACCTCCTTCGATCTTTTCATTTTTTTCCTAACTGCACCAGCATCAGGTAAATGGTGATGACCTGCAGGCCCCTTAGGAACTCCTGGACGTATTCCAGGTGGAATTCCTCTGTAGATAAATATGTACAGTAACTTTCATTACTTTCATCTAAAGCAGACCACATGCAGCTTCTAATGGAACTTAGCCGTACCTTTCAACAACTTCTTGACCTTGCAGTTTCGCCCTCAATTTGGATTCCCTCTCTTCAGCTACTCTAATGTTTTCCTTTTGCTGTTGCATCTGGTCAAAAATAGCATGATAGTGTTCATATTGTCCTCTGGAAGACACGGGAAAAGGACCAATACCACCTCCACCGCCATAATATGGTGCCTGGAAATCAAAAGGGGTACGGTGGAAATCTCAAACACTGGTTTTAACAAGCCCTTCCAATTTTCACCTCTTCACCAGAATAAAAGCATTAATATGTTCTGCAACAATTCTGCGTTGGTCCTAGTTTTATTCCTGGCATGCCCCTATTTTAACAAACTACAAGATAGATAAATTAAAAACATATTTTTCTGTTAGCACTCCAGATTAACACATCATTTTACCTCCCTCTGATAATAGTCTAGTTATACATGAGATATTTGTCACACATTTTGGAAGTTATCGGTAACAAATCCATTGAAGCATAATCAGAGATAGACGTTCTTACATGGCAAAAATCAAAGTTTTAGCACAAAAGCTAAAAGCGATACAACACTAACTGAAGTACTAATGAGTGATTTGTAGCCAAACACCCACTTTTTCAAGAAACTGGGAGCAGCTGAGCACACTTCTAAGGTTGCTGGATGGCATTCAGTGCAGATTTATCTGACAATCCCCATTGTCACCAACGTATAATTTGGCTTCATCACCAAAATGGAGATGCTTCCCTACTAAAACTCAGATGAGGGGAACATCTACCACAAACTACTGCTTTATGTAAATTATGTCTGTCATTCTCAAAGCATTAGAGTTCCTACAGAACCTTCATGTGAAAATAACAAAAAAAATAATGTTGCAAGCAGCTGTGTATAGTAGTAGCCAAGGATGGATGCAGAAAATGTGAAACTGGCAAAACAAGGTTAAGGTTGTCAGCACATGCATAAAAACGCTCCCTTTACGCCTGGGGAAAACAGTCAAACAGCCCATGGTAGTGAATCTATGGAATTTGTTTTAACAATAGTGTCAATGTTCCTTCCAGAGTGGTCTTAAGTATTTTAAATAAATTCAAATAGGTGAGTGGAGATGTGACAGGTTTAAGGTTGCCTACTTAGGAGTTCCTGAATAGCTTATATTCGACAATGGAATTTAGCTCACACTCTGAGTTTCAGTTACTCAACACCCATCAATACTCCCAATAATCCATATGACAGAATACTAACTGAAAGATTTATCCAGGCATTCAAATAAATACGCAGGTATGCTGTTCATCTGAATAAAAATAACTTACTATACAAGACTACAGTTTCTACAGCTAGAAGGAAAAGTCTTGCTGTAGACACTACTCAAGGTTTCGCCTATCATTATTAGAGCTCAGTTTTCAAAAGGATTATGTAAAGAAATAGTATGATCAATCTCTAGGCAAATACTATGAAGCAGGTGCTCATCAACAGTCTACAGAACAGTAACAGCCCCTGCTAAAACCACAAACCCAAAGCCAAATCCTTGCCACCTCTCTCCTTACTTTCTCTTAAAAACAGGTGCCAGAAACCAACCGCAAAAGACAACGGGAGGCTAAAATCGCACAGTGCGTGACCCTGCTGTGCCCTCAGAAGAGGCTATACAGCTTGCATTAACGGAAAGCTCCAACAATGCTATTTGACAGCATCGAGATAGAGTTGCTGGATACACTTGTTTTCACGTTGGAGAAAGGAAAACCATAATTAAGTCAAGAATACTATAATAGTATATGGAAACCTGGAGTGATGCTAACTTAGCAGCCTGCAGTAAGATTTGTACTAAACTATCCAATCTGGAAAAGACATTTCGCTGAATTTTAAGGCATGTCTGCCATGACATTTTACACCAGTGACTCTAATATCCACAGCCACCGAGCCTCAGTTTCCCTAGATGATCGAGAACGCTGATAACGATGTAGCTGTAGCTACAACAGAACACTTTCTACGCTTGCAGTGTCTAAGGACCTTGCAATAAAACTCTCAAAGTTAATCAGAAACATGATGGTTTTAAGGAACACAGGTAACTCTCATCCAAATGTGACGATGCTGATCAACTGTGTTGTTTAGAAACTTGGATTGATGCCTGTCAGTTTCATCTTGAGAGAGAGAGAAGGACAGTATAGGAACCAAATGATGTTTTTTGATTTTTCCATCACATCAGCACCTGGTAGTTTTTAAAGTCTGGTATGCTTAAGTTTGCTTTTACATTTAAGTTTTACTTAGATGATGTGTGGCACACATCCGAAGATGATATCACTTTGAAATAACACATTTAATAAGCAGCTACTGAAACCTGGTCAAGTGCTTGTGTATTCCTCATATTCTTGTACAAGGAACAGAAAGTAAAACATCTATTCATTTGGACTCTACTGCTCACTCAGAGCTTGTTTACGAATACCCTACTAAACATGTTTAGGCCAAGTATTTTTGTAAGTCACTACCACCACAACAAATAGCTGTGTTTTAATTCATTTTCTATGGTCAGATAGATTTACATCACAGAAATAATTAAATTCCTGCACTGGTTCTGTCTGATGAAAGCACCCAGACCTTTATATTCAACTAACTTAATGGGGCTACTTCCCAGAACAGTTATGTTTCCATGAAACTATGACACACACAAACAGGCAAAAACAAACTGTCATAGGTATCAGATTAAATTATGTAATTAAATTATGTAAGAAGCCAATGGCTAAAGAGTTTACTGCTTTCAGAAAAAAAATAATCAGATTTACTCAGGAATTTTTATTCCCCCCTCCAGAACAACTTATCAGTATACATAAATATTTATGTTGCTAAATAACAAAGAATGCTTAGAAGCAGGTGTTTAATACTGGGGAAGAGGTCCATTATCATCATATGAGACCCTGGAAAAAGATGTCAACAAAGGAATTCAAGAACAAACTTGAGTGTGAAAGCAGCTATTCATGCATAGATTCAGCACAGGAAAAGTAGCAAAAGCAGGAGTGGAAAAAAGAAAGTGGTGCATGAAAACCATTACTGGCAGAAAGAGAAGAGATTCAGAAATTTAGTAAGTTTTAAAAATGAAAATTGCAAATGATCTCCAAAAAGCCAGGGAAGAGAGTCTGCGATACAGTTTCTCTTAAATTATCCATAGGTTAATCATGGGCAGCCCCAAGAGCTGACCTCCAAGAGCAGATCTTTCTGAAAAGAGAAGACCATGCCAGATAACCAAAGGTGGGGGGAACAGACTACAGCACATTTCTGCATCTGCTGCCAACCTTAACATCACCACTTCCACCTGAACCAAGCACATTCCTCCATCCTTGTTCCCTGGCTCTGTTTATTCGTTCCATCTGAAGGAGAAAACAATACAGGAAAACATAATTCAAGGAATTGCTAAGTAAAAATTGAACTTCACTATTAACACATTTTAAACATATTTTACCCTTTCTTTTTCCAGTCTTCTCATTTCATCTGCCTTCAGTAAACTGATCTGCAATGCGTAAGGATTAAACATGTTTAGTAACAGGGAAATCGAACTACTCCTTATTCTAACACAACGTATAACACACCACAGGATATTTCATTAAAATGACTATGGGTTGAAGAAGAAAGTCTCAAGAATCTTGTCTACCTGATCTCTCTGGCGTTTTTCTTTTTCAGGCAATTCTAACCTTTTCTTTTTTGAAGGTTCCTGAAAAATAAGCATATAATTTGGTATTTATTACTGAGCCATTATTTTGTCAAGTCTCTGTCAAGATAGCTTAGTGCTGTAATTGCTGGTGTATGTCCACAAAGATTAAAAAAATTTTTTTAAAAACATCACTGCTACGTAATGTTTGGGAAAAAAGATAAGGAGGAAAGGTTTGAAGGTTTTATTTTGTCATTCTTGCTCTGGACGTAGCTTTTGCTTAGTTTGAAAATTAACAGATGATTTCATGATACCTCAAACATTTTCCTCCTTTCTTCTCCTGGATTCATTTTCTTCACTGGAGCTGGAAAGGCCTGGATAAAAGGTGAAACTTCAAATTAGATAGCACGATGCCAGAATGAGAGAAAAATTCTAATTGGGGAAAAAAAAAAAATAAATCTTAACCTCACAACTCAGTATGTGCAAAACGGGGTTTAAAATAATTAATTCCTCAGGAAGTTTTACATGAAAAGCACTGCAAGGATCTAGGGGTAAATGCTACTGTACTTGTCCATCCTCTCCCAAAAGCTGTCTTAAAAGCTGAAGGCAGTAATTTTAAAATTAGTTTTGTCTTAATTTTCCTTTCTGGTAATATCATTCTGCATTT